TGAGTGTCGGGATTGATTTCCTATATGGGAAAGAAGGGGGAAAGGTTGTAAAAATGGTATAGCGGCATGGAACGTGAATTTTGCTGTTATACTCGCCGCCCCGCTCAACGGCAATTTTGAAGGGGATTAGGTATGGAGGCAAGTTCGTGTGGTTACTACATGCAACGATGACTCGGGTGGGTCGTACTGCCGTGGCCATTTCCTAGCGCTCTTTATGTCACACATACTTGAACCTTGTTCCGCCGAAGGAATCGGCCCGTCGTGCATATGTGCTCGATGTATTTTACCGACTTTGTCCGTGCCAACACGTACAAGCTAAAGCGCATGGCGGTGAACTGTCCCCTTCTGCGGCGCGCCACGCATGTGACTTCCATTCAGAATCGCAGTGCAATTTTGAATTCTTATGTAATTCCTTCAATGAGTTGCTCTGATCTACTGAGCGGTGCAAGTCAGCGTTGTCATTTCCCAAGACAAATTGGCATCAGTCAGATGATTCGGTCCGAGAGAGATAGAGGGCGACTTAGTTACTCTGAATGCCTCCTGCTAAGGGATCCGGTCCTTTAATTGGCAAACAATATCGGCGCTACTTGCTATGGCACTCATGATCTTAGATGGGAAATTGATGTGAGTGGGCCACTAATACAACTCGGGACTAGCCTTAGGGAGGGGAAAGGATTCTGGGGAGAGGATGTGAGCAACCATTGTTCTCCCTGGTGTTTATTCCCAATCCTGGGCTTAGTCCTAGTTCACCTACCAGCAGTTTTTGAATGTCCTGTTTTGAATGTCCCCCTAAGGACATGAGCGCCCTTGCTATTGTGGGAGAACTAGAGACAAATATGGAGAACTGAAGCACATACCTCCTCCTTTGGCGTGGACCACTCTTTCGGGAATCCTTTCGCGATCAAAATGTGCCATTTCGTCCATGTATATAACATCTTGCATTAGCATTGGGCCCCTGAAGAAGCGACTTCATTTCAGCGAAATGGCAACTAGAGTTCATTTTCACGATAGGAGACAATATTCTCCGTCGCACCCGCTTCTTCGAAATCATCGAAGAAGGAAGTGGCAAAAGCTTCATATTTCCGGCCAGTGCAGCTCACCAGAAAAGTCGATAGAGCCTGGAATGGTGAACAAAAACTGCTACGTGAACTTGCCCAGGAAGGCGTTAGCTCAAACTGGTCCCAGGTTCGATTCCCGTGGTGAGAAAACTTTGCATTTTATGTTAGCGCCCAGATTGGAGCCAAATGGCGCAGGGCGCAAAGAATAGAGTTTGCTTTTCAAATTTGTTACCCGCACCGGCTCTGTCGATCTACCTAGTTCTCAATTCAATGTTCCATGGGAACTTGATTATTTTCTGGTCGGAATGCGCCCGCAGCACAAAACATGTGGAGCTTTTGAGAGCACCTAAGATTCCTGAAATTCCGGGTAATCTTAACTTAACGGTTCTCACCTGGGTCCAGCAGTGAGTACATTAGTTTTGTTGGCAATCGGAACACCGTTGGACGTTGTCAGCACATTTGGTTTCTGGAAATATAGCCCCACTGATGTCTTCCTCTTGAATGAAGATTTCCTGCACTTACCGGCTGGCCCTTCTTGAAGTTTTCCAATTGCATATCGCTAGGATCAGGCATCTTGCTTGTCGACTGGGTTGCTTCGTCGCTTTCTGCAATGAATGAGACTCTCTAACTTATTTTTTATCATGATTGTGATAGGGAAGGTTGTTTAGACGTAAGAGGTCGTAAGGTATTGGAAGGTAGAGATAAGATATCGATAGCTACGAAAATCATCATATCATACTGGAATTCTGACCTAACAAGGAATCCTAAAGATTACGAACAGACACTTAGGAACGGAAGAGGCAGAATGAAAAAACCAGTTTCTTGGTCATCTGTCACGTGCTGTAAGAACGGAGTAGCCAACGACGAGATTTTTGTGATCAACGGCTGAAGTTTCCAAAAATGCTAAGGAAGATTTTAGGTGCAGAAGTGCCGCAAGTCAGTTGCCGGTGTTCCCGCCGCAGAACGAATCGACAACGATCACGCTAGAGCTGATAGCATGGCCCTGGTGATAACGACAAGGTTAAATCGAACCCGCATGCTGCGCTGGCGAAAACATTAGCCATGACCGTCAGGAGGTGGAGCGTCCAAAGGTCGAAGTTGAGTGCAATTTGTAGAAACGAAAACCAGTAGTGGTTCCATGCCGGTTTCGTGGCTCAGGAGAGAAAACAGCTGTGAATTTGTTTCATTGAGGAATAATGTACGCATTGTGAAACATTCCAGCAGCAAGTCAGTGTTTTCGTCCCTTAAAGGCACAACTCAGAATGAGTTCTAAGTAAAACCCAAGTGAATGAGGTGAATGAGTCCTTATAGTGGATAGGATAGAGCTGCTCTCTCAGCTCGCAATTGTTCCATTCTCGCAAGCCCGTTTCAACCGCTTCAATTCCTCCTCGTCCACAGCACGGTGTGCGTTCTCTCATCTGCTGCGCTCTTTCGCCTATCTTCTCTTCTCTGTGCTCGATCTCATTGTCTTAGCCAGCAGAACCGAATAATTGACTGGCTCCCTAATGTTAGCGGTTGCGAGGAATTCACTCCTCCATTTTTCTTTTATTACACCCAGGCCCACTCGGACCAGCGCTCCATAGAGAAACAATCCCAGTTTGATCCTGAAGCATGCCCTCAAATGGGGCGCTACCGATTGAAGATCTGAGGGAATAAGGCCGAGAGTGGAGTTGCGACCAGGACCAGTCATCCGTGGGGGATTCCTAGCGGAGAAGTGATCGTATTTTGCCGAGAGGGGGATGATAATTCTGAGTGAAATGAAGGAGAAATGAGTAGAAAAGGTGACATCCCCGTGAGCGTTTGATAGTTCTCTTTAAGAACAGTAGGAGATAGCTTTGCTACAGATGCATGAGACACGAGTTCAGGATCACCAATTTTCGCTTCAGTTTATTTGTTTAAAGGAGAAGATGAAGGCAGACCTCCTAATGGTGCTAACCGGCACGCAATTCGCATCGAAGGAATATGCCTTATGCGATTTAGCATAGCCATCACCACGGCGCTTTCGGCGCAAACTCCCCAATCTCGCTGTTCGAGTCTCTAATTGTTTAGCAGAGAGAGCGTTAGCGTTGAAGAGGGCAGCATCGATGAGAGTCGCATCAATGCGGAAATCCGCACTCAGGGAAGTGGCCATTTCTAAGATCCTGGACCCTTTTTCTTCATTTTTCCTCTTTCATCACAGACCTTCTCGGTGTTAATTTCCATTGGGCTGCTCTTCATCGTAAAATCCGCTTTAAGAGCTCTTGTGATTGAACCATGGTAGGGTTGAAAATGCCAAACGCATTAATTGTTACATAGTGGGATCACTAACGGGTGATCTTTCGCCTTATTCAGCCACTCACAACCTCTTCTTTTTCAGACAATCGATAAAAATAGTTCACCACTGATAGCCAACTAAACAACGAGGCCACAGAACGTTGACCTAGAAACATCATTCCATCGAGCTTTTTTGTATGGCTAAAAAGCTCTTAGCAAGATGAAGGTAAAAAAATATTAGGTTGGAACATGACATCGCAGTACTAATATTCGCACAAGCGTTTAAAATGACAAATAGCAACACAGAACTAATCAGTGATGTTCTTTTCGTCATTATTTATGACTTTGATTCCACTTGGCAAAAATTCACCGGTCTGAAATAAAATTGATATCGATCCCCGTTTTTGAAGCCCTCGTTATGTAGACCTTGTACGGCCTATAGGTGGCTGTTTTTTTTTGGGCGAAATGTGAAAGGTTGCTTATAAGAAGGTCTAATGAGTTTGATAATATTTGGAGATTTTCCGCTTTTTGTAGTCAAGAAAGCCAATGAATAGCAGTTGTGTAAAACTTCCCTGCTTTTCCCCTCCCAAGCACTATATCTGAAATATTTGTAATACTGAAGGAAACGAAAAATATGTTATAGTGAGCAGAAAAAGTACCTTACAATACCATACATATTTTAGACAGACATGAATTGGCGGAATTCACAAACGAATAACGCCTGGCGAATAACTATTGGGTCGATACGATTTTTAAGACACTTTGGATGATTTCGATTTAATTACTTATTTCATTTCTCTGATGTATTTATTTAACATAGTATACATAGCCATTATTACCAACATATCGCTAATGCGAGGAGCATTGTTGAGTTCCAAATCCATAGAGTTTCAGAATCGGAAGAAATGGATTCCGACTTTGCATGCAGGTAAAAGTAAGATTTCTTCCCCAGAAGGTGATTTCAGGAGGATAGCGGATGGTCCCTCGTCGTGGCACAAGATTAGTGCTACAAGGCGGAGCTAAAAGAACTGACCGCCCGAGAGTCTCCAATTTTTATGAATTTTCTTAGCAAGGTGGACTCGAACGACCTCAGAAAAAAATAGATTTTGTCTTACTTTGCTTTCAAGTTGAAGGCGTTGCCATCAAGCTGTCTACGATTATCTTCATCACTGAAGGCACTGGTATCAAGCTGGTCAACGATTATCTTCATAGACTGACACTGGTATTAGTTGGTGCCGGTTCCCAGCGCAAAGCCCTCTCGTATTCCGCCAACGACTCAGGAAGTTAGAATTCAGAGGGAGTTGGGCTTTTGCTGTCAGAACTCCCGAATCGTTTAAGCTAAGCTACTGCGGCTTGTGGATTTGTTAGCACACTGCACCCAGTCCACATCACCGATGAGTATGATGGATGGTCATTCGAAGGAACTATGGGAAACCAATAGGAACATGATGATGTCAGATCGGGTTTAGAGCTGATTCGGGCTCAGAGCATGTGAGAGACAAACTCCATATTTTCAAACCTTAGCGACTTTATCGATGTCTCAGTACTCTGCCTTGTCACACCAAAAGCGCTCTGACAAATAGCGCTCACTTTGTTCAGATTCCTTTTCAATGGCGCCGGATAGAGCATCGAGATTGCCAGTCACGGGGTGGTTGGAGTGTGGATCATCTTCGAATAAAAGGAGGGAACCCTGAGTAGAGGTAACTGTGGATTGAGAGAGCGTGCCCTCAACTATCTTCTGGTTAATCCTCCATATAGCTTGGCGCGTGGAAGATCCTAATCGGTAGTCATGAAGAAAGAGGCTCAGAAATAGGTTTCGAAGAAATTGGAATCCTAGCTAAAGAAAGCAACAAGCAAACGAGATGGCTAGCCTGTCGGATAGGCGAGCTTGTGTGCTGGGTTGCAGGACATCTTGGAGCCTGTCGGACAGGCGAGCTTGTGTGCTGGGTTGCAGGACATCTTGGAAGGCTCAATACTTATCAAAAGATTTTTACAACAATACATGTAAAGTGTCTCAAAAATTATGGACCGACCTAATATCCAATCTAATACATTACTAAGGCTCTAGAATGAGTGATTTACAATAATCCTTTAAAAGAAGGTTGGCATAAATCTGTTTGGAAAACTACTAGTCACCTAAGCAACTCGCGATGTTATTGACGTGTTTGATTAACTGCGGCAAATCGATTATCACTAAATTTAGCACCGGCGGTGGAAGGGGGCTACTCTCAACGTCGACCAGAGGTAATTGACGAAGAAACGGTTGTAACATCTTCAGAGAAAGAAAGAATCTAATGATAAGATAAAAAATGTGCAAAAAATTGCGAAATGGTTTTTGTTTGAACTTAATATATAGAGTGAAGAGAATCGATCAAAAGGCG